CCGGCTCGGCGCGTTGCCCACGGCGGGGGCTGTGACAGGGCGAGCTCCCGCGTGGGGCAGTAACTTAGCCACATTGCAGCGTGAGCGCCTGGGGCCGCTCCGTCTATGCCGTAAGAATAGGCGTTTATGTGTGCGTAGCGACCAGCCTTCTGGATGTCCTGCCGAGCCCCTGTCTAACAGTGTCAGCGCCAGTGTGAGATAGAAGATAAATGCATAGAGTGGCCATAATGTAGAGGCATGAACCCGCGCCCGTAGAACATGGGGAAAGGTCATGGCATTGCTCTTAACACATGGAAAGAAGTAAGACTAACAGTGTCCAGAGAGCATGCAGCAAAGCTGACAGTTGTCCTTCACTTTCTTCTTTTAAGAGATAACAACTTTGCGTTCAAGGAGTCTTTATAAATATCAGAGTTTAGGATTTCAGCTAATGTATCTTTCTATTACTGTGTTATAAATTTCTTTTTATTGTTTTCAGTTTTTCTTCTCATCAACCACTAACAGTTTCAATACTTGCTTATGATGTGACAGCTTTTGTAGCTTTCCTCTTTAAGTTGAACTGTGAGGGTGATATGAATCATGTATTTCAACTGATGATGCTATTGATGAAAAGTATATCTTTCTCTCTGTTTAAGACATCCATGAATAGAAATAGATCTTTGTAGAGTCGAGAGTACAACACTGAAAATTTAGAAAGGCATTTCCAAAATTGTACACCAAAAAAAACTATTAAAAATGATAAACTTTTTTTTAAAAAAATTTTAGTGTTCTGTAGACACAAGAGAAAGTTTCCAGCTTGCCCCTAAAAAGGGACAAGTAGAATTTTCAAATTCCAGGTATCATAAATGACTAGGACATTCATGGATATTTTTATAATGAAAAAGGCATGAAATACTTGATGTTGTTATTTACATTCCAGCTTCCTTATTTGAGTAGATACTCAAGAATTGGTAAAAGTTATTTTCTGTGAAATTCAAGTTCTACAAGACTATTATTACAAACCATAGGGGATAACATGGTATTTCGTACTTTTTTTTTCTTATTGTAAGTCATTTATGTAAGCAATATACTTAATTTAATATAATATGCATCAGAGTGTTTTCTAAAATAAAATTCCATTTTCTCAATCTTTACAGATTGACACTGCTGATTCAAAGAATAATGTGTTAGTATTTTTTAAGCTGCGACCTGATGTAATTACAGAAGATAATCTTCACAGTAATATTCTTGTATCATCTATGTTAGATTCACCTATTAATACCCTTTACCAAGCTGTACGACAAGTTTTTGCACCTGTATTACTAAAGGTGAGCAATGTTCTGGTTTAAATGTTTATAGTTTTAAAGGGATATTGAAATTCCCCACCTTGTGTTAACTGTTCTGAGATGTATATTTTAAGTTTTAAAAACAAAATATCCATGTCAATAAGATAAGGGGAGCCTTCTGGTCATATGGATGCCTGACTAGAAAGATGGAAAATGGTTAATGGGAGACAACTGCTCTTTTCCTCCAGTAACTCCAGTCTTGTGTACTCTTCCCATACAGAATATTCTTCCACCATAGAATATTCTTCTAAATGTTCTTAGGTTTTGTTTCTAATATGTAGGCCAGTATCGTGAAAATCATGATTACTATCATATATGACAGATAGGGCTCTGGACTAATTTGCACAGCTTGATTTTTCATAATTTGTATTTTTAATATTCTTAGGCTTTTACTCTATTCAGCTGCAGAACATATTTTGTAGAACAGCCATGACACAAATCTTAACAAACAGAATTTCAATATTTAAATAGTTTCTGTCTCTTATATGAGCAACAATATTATTGAAATAATTATAGAAAATCATAATATCTTTAAGGATTGATTCTAGGTAGTTCCTATGGTAGAAAGAAATTCCAAATTTATTATTATTACTTAACAAAGATATCTGAACACATACTCTTTTATTAATCCAATAATTATTCTTTAATTTTCCAATAAGTAAATATATAGTGGAAGTGTACATATATAAATTTACATATATATATATAAATATATATATAATATATATATACATAAAAAACTCATGGTGTAATTCTGAATGAAATGGTGTGAATAGGGTAAAATGGTTTTCCTTGACTTTTCACTGTCCCTTCATGTGAGTAACAGATATTAATCTTTTTTTTTTTTGGTATTTAAAATATTTAAATAATGGTTCCATCGTATGATTCACACTTTTAAAAAAATTCATTGCAGGATGATAAATGGAGTAAAGCATTTGATCCCAAACTCCAGAAACTTTTAAGTGAACTTGAGTCTGGTTTAAGTACTGTTCTCAGAAGATCAGATCCTAATTACATGGGAGCAAAGTTCAGTGAAGATGATGTGCAAGGTTTGTTTTGCATTTACGTCTTTTGCAATAAATTTTAAAACATGTTGCACAATGTGCTGATTTATAGGCTCAGTTTTCTTTGTCTATGATCCCAGTGACCGAAGAATGCAAAGTATACTGAGTATGCTTTGAAATTAATGATGATCAACTCCTTATTTCTTAGCATGAATGTTAGTTAGAGTGAAGTTTAGTTAGAGTGAAAAACTTAAGCGTATTTGTATATCCATATAGTAAAAATTTCCTTTCAAAATGTGTTCTGACTGAGAATATTTCATGCCCATTCATGTTTATTTTCTATTTTTATTTGCAGCTATACTTACACCAACAGATGAATTTCAGTTCTGGACAGAATGTGCTCATCATGGGAGTAAATTATGTAGTAAAGAGAGAGCTTCTCACTTTAGAAAACTATTTGAGGGCATTGAAAAAGTATGTTTTTCTTTTATATAAATCAGTAATATATTTGCAGATTTAATAAAAACAACCAAGCTCTTTGTGAAATGTATGTTTACGCTCTGTTCAAATACATGATTAAGGGACTACATAACTAGATAATTTTTCTTACGTGAAATATTACTTTAAACTCCATTAAGTAGTAGCTAGTGCAACAACGGTGCAAGGTGTGGCCAAATTTAATTGGGAGTGGATTTGGTCATTAAATCCTAACAGGTGTTTCAGAAACACTACAGTTTGTGAGCTAAAAATTGGCTAATGAAATTATGTAAAGGAAAATTGAAAATACATATGGTAGTAAGGGGCTCTATTCTGCAAACTTTTAGGCACTTGTAAAGTGGGTGCTCAAAGAGCACCTCAGAAATCAATATATTCTTCACGTGAACGAAATTACATAGATGCCTTGTCTTTTTGACAGGATGCTGTCATATTCCATTAAGCAATAAAGAAATAGTAC